CACTGTCAGAAGGGGGTGAGTTTGCTCTCTGTTTATATACAAGGGGCTTGACCTGTCATTGTTGGTGGAAGTAAACACTTTGTATATAAACAGAAAACAAACCTTTTTAACACTGATGATGTTGCCTAGTTGGCTAATGAAACATCTGCAAGAAAACAACGGAGTTCAGAGAGCACCAAGGACCCCACAGATCATGAATTGCTTTCCTTTGTTTTTAAAATGAAGTCTACTAACATGAAGTCAACAGAAAACTACTTGCCACATATAGGTCAAAAGGGGTTTAATAAAAGCTGCTTGTGTGAGCAGTCACCTTCTTGTTGGAAATGCAATTCATGAGTAGATACATTGACTTATAAATTTTTTTGACATGACCTATTACTGACATATTGGGGTGTGCAGTCAATCGTACTGTTAATATGGATGTGTAAACAACCAGATTATTCAGTAACCATTGTACACTTAAGTCTCATATGTTCTTCTTAGCTAGATCCTCCATACTTTGGGAGTGCAAATCACAGCAAGAACTCTAGACTTTTTAGGCATGGGAGCTAAACAATAACAGTTATTTTGCAACATAAAAGAATTCCGAACTGGAACCACAGCAGAGGACAGTTGTATAGATTGCCAGCATTTGAATTGATTTGTTTTGTTTTTACAAAAGGGTGCAAAGTAATGAAGCCACTCAACTTTCCCTAATTCCATAAATCAAAAAATTATGGGAGCAGCCTGGTGTCTTCTCTTGCCGTACTCTTTTCCGTGAATCTCATCATGGAGTCATCACAATGAAAAAAGAAAGAAAATCACTCTTAAGTTATTTGTATTTTCTTTTATTTCATCTTATTTGTTACCTGCTGCTCCTGGAACTTTCGTTAAGCATTTTGTCTTTGCTATCAACTCCCTCCAGCATTTCATGTTTTGAAGCTGACAGAGTTATGAATTGCTTGTGCTTCCTAGCCTTGGTCCTTTGTCATAATTAGAACTGCAGCATTGACTTTGGGTGTATTGGATGCTGCTGAAAATTGCTGCGTTGTTTTCTGGGTGCTGAAATAATTGTTCTATGGCTGAATGACTCAACCAGAACTCATTGCGGCAGTTTGGCTTTTCTTATCAGAGTATTGGCAGCTCTAAGGCAGGGATGGTAGGAAAAAGATCAGTATAACCAGATATGTATAATCCTGTGGGCTATCACTAGGTCAGGGGTGTCAAACTCAAGGCTGCGGGCTGGATTTGGTGGTTAGATCTGGCCAGCGGGACCACCCTGGAATCAGCGAAGGACGGGCCTGAGGTGCCTCTGCCAGCAAAAACAGAGTTTGGGAGGGCTGCATGAGGCTCTCCCGAGCTCCGTTTTTGGCTGCAACGGCCTCCTGCAGCACTCTGCCACTGAAAACGGTGCTCGGGAGCGCCGTGCACAGCCGTCCCAAGCTCCATTTTCACTAGCAGAGCACTGGAGGAGGCTGTTGCAGCCAAAAATGAAGCCTGGGAGGGATGCCCCCAACATGAGTGATGTTGAGGTGGCCAGGCCCACCCAGCCCCCAAGGTCAAACACAATCTTGATGCGGCCCTCCATGAAATCGAGTTTGACACCCCTGCTCTAAAAGATTTGCAGTACAGGTAGCCCTTGACTTACAACAGTTCATTTAGTGACCATTTAAGTTTACAACAGCACTGAAAAAAATGAGCTCCTGTTACTGGCCACAGTTCCTGTCCACTTTGCAGTTCAAAAGCATGCAAATGCGAGTAGATAAAAAGCTACCACTTCAGTGAGACGGTAACAGCGTTCTGTGTGCCTCAGCATACAGTCATGCTGGCCACATGACCACAGAAAGAGTCTTCAGAGAACACTAGCTCCCTCGGCTAAGAAACGGAGATGAGAATTGCTGTCTAGAATGGGACATAACTGGACCAGGTATATTTACCTTTACCTTTATGTTGTCAGCTTTGTTTCTCTAGAGCAGTATTTTCTCAACTGTGACAAGTTCAAGATGTGTGAACTTTAGCTCCCAGAATTCCCCAGTCGGCACACCATTGGCATCGTGGACGTGGCAATTCTGGGAGTTGAAATTCACACGTCTCAAAACTTGGCAAAGTTGAGAAACTCTGCTCCAGAGATCTAATGTGGTGACGTTAAAACTCTCCTGGAGTAGCAAAGGGTAGACATAAAATATACAAGGTTTCCTCATCCTACAATAGTTCGTTTAGTAACCATTCAAAGTTACAACTGCAATGATTCACTTAACAAATGTGACAAGGAAGGTTGTAAAATAGGACAAAATTAACTTAATAAATGTTAGTTGAGGAGTACCTGTGTTAGAGTTTTGTAAAAAGAGGGTCAACATTACCTCTCCTGAGAGACAATTTGAGCACCAATATTAATCTTTCTATGCAGGATGCAGCTGTATGGAAATACATTCTTGAAAGTGTATTTTTTATACATGAGGAATAATGATGAGATCTATCACCATTTATAGACTAAGCACACATCTTGGAATATTTCTTAGACTCTTCTGCTGTTGTTTCACTTAGTCTTTCAGTGGAGATTTGAGGCTCTGTTCTGAGAGGGGATGGATGAAATGGAACACATGAATGACCTTGGGGAAAGGTCCTGCCTAGGAAACAATCAGAGATGTCGTGCCACAGCATATAACCTTTATATACTGTTGTTGCTCACTAGCCCCATCTAGTGGCCAGAGAGACAAATATGCCCAACAATATTGTTTGAAGCTGACTACCCATTTACTCATCAGCCCACACTCTCAAACCAAATGCACGCTGGGAAGCCAGACTCAATTTCCTTTAGCATTTGGAGAAGACAGAAGTACAAAGAAGCAGCCATTTTAATCTGTGGCACATGGTTATTCATCCAAGAACAAACTCACATCCCACACACAGAGCATCGTTGGTGAAATTCAAACTGCTTGTATTTATTAATTGTTATGTTCAGTAGTAACTTAATACTGTCTATCTTACATTTGATTCTCACTGTGTGTATCCCTGTTTTCCTCAGTTTTACCATATCCTGTTCTCCCAATAAAGCATTGAGATCTACGAACATGGTCCGTTTTATTGGAAGACAGGTGGGTTTAGCTGCCTGTCAAGCTGCACACAGACTAATGAGTAATGGGGACAGAACAAGAGAAGAGACGTAGGAGCCAACAGTCACTTTAACAGTCAGAGGAAGAAAGATCCATCCTAAATGAACCACCTAGTTAAAAGTGAAGGCAGGAAGTTTGTGCCTTTAGATTTGCAAGATTCCGTTAATAGGTTAATATAACCTTGCAATAAAGAAGAATGAATTACAAATAATCCTCAACGCCAGTTCATTTAGTGACCAATGTTACAAGGGCACTGAAAAAAGTATCTTATGACCATTTTTCACACTTACGACTGTTGTGGCTTCTCCATGGGTGACATAAGCAAAATTCAGATGCTTGGCAACTGACTAATAATTTATAACGGTTGCAGTGTCCCACGGTTATGTGATCACCTTTTGCTAACTTCTGACAAACAGCCAATGTGGAAGCTGGATATTCACTTAACAACCGTGTTTACTAATGTAACAACTGCAGTGATTCACTTAACAACTGTGGCAAGAAAGGTGGTAAAATGAGGCAAAACTCACTTACAGACAGAAATGTTGGGCTCAATTGTTGTCGTAGGTTGAGGACTACCTGTAATCTGGTCTTGTTTCCTGTCAGGTTTATCTGGGAGGGCTGACATAAATCTTGCAATTTTAAATTTCTTTCTCTGACCTTTAAGAGGCTCCTGGCTCTCTTTACTGTTTCCTACGCAGAATCTGCTCCTCTCATTTCCCAAGGTTATTTATATATTACATTACAATGGAACCATGGCTGAAAAAAAATTGATCTAATTAGGCAAATAGAGTTGATGCAATTATGCTCCATGCATTTTTTTTTCTTCTGTCAAGTAAAAATAATAACTTTCAGACAAGATCTGAAGTTTTACCCCAAAGATTTTAGAGGACACATAAAGACTGAATTTGTGGCAAGGAGATTCTTTCCATAGACAAATTAGAGAAAGTTTATTGACATTGGAGTATTTGAATAACAGCAACCTATTCTATATTTCTTTTTTTTTAATTAAGTTTTTTATTTTTAAATATGTATAAATATTAAATATATGAACAGTGTGGCATCTGGGTATCATTAATTTTGGTACCAAATAATAGTAATGAGATTAACAGTTTTGATAGCCTTAATTACATTAATCATACTCACATCATTATAATAACATTGTACATAACACAGTCATCTTTCAACTTCTGGTCCTTTCATCTACCCACTAATTGTTATATTTTATATAGAAGTATGCATAATTATATTTTCCCCCTTTCTAATTTTTACCTCTATTCTATATCTTAATATCATAAGTTTTATATAGATAGATACTCTATTTCTATACTTCATCTCTTGTTCGTTTTAGTATTTCAATTCTTGTTAATTTTTCTTATATTTCTTGAAAAGATAAAACATCATTTATAGTCTACATGCAGGATTCTTCCCCTCCCCCCAAAAAATATTCTTGTGGCTTAAATCATGAAAATCTAATTGAGGATATTTATTCCACATACTTCAATAAATAAAACGAAAACAGTATGCCAGGTTACTTTTATAAGCCGCGTAAAACATATGAATGGTTTTTAAAGTCCTAAATGTTTCACTGAGGGGAAAATTAATGAAGTATATTTTAAACGTTTATTAAATCAGTTTGAAGGTTTATTCAGAGATTTTTATTGAGTCACTTGAATGAAAAGAAATGAACGCTCACCTGAATGCTTTCTCTTTGAGATTTTCTTTAAATTTTAAGAAAATATCAAAGTCACCAAAATATTTAATCTGCTAAATTTAGTATGCATGATATACTCAGAAAGGCATATTTTTTTTATCCCTAAGGGTAGATTTAGATTTTATTGGCTTTGTATCTGCTCCATTTATCCAGCCTGATTTGTTTGTCTTTCTAATGAATGTCATACATCTGCAAAAATGAATTTACATAGAGATACAGAATGGTGAGAAATTTGCTGGAAAATAACCACTTACTGTTATTTCTGTGCTATCCTATTTAAAAGGTAGTCCTCGACTTATAACAATTCATTTAGTGACCGTTCGAAGTGACAATGGCACTGGAAAAAGTTACTTATGACTGTTTTTCACACTTACAACAGTGGCAACATCCCCATGGTCACATGATTAAAATTCAGATGAACGTGACTCATCTTTATGACCTTTGCTGTGTCCCAGGGCCAGATGAACCCTTTTTGCAACCTTCTGACAAGCAAAGTCAACGGGGAAGCCAGATTCACTTAACAACCATGTTACTAACTTAACAACTGCAGTGAGTCACTTAACAACTGTGGCAAGAAAGGTTGTAAAATGAGGCAAACCTCACTTAACAACTGTGTCACTTAGCAACAGAAATTTTGGGTTCAATTTTGGTGGTAAGTCAAGGACTATTTGTACAAGGTGATATGAAAAAATTACTGAACAGGTTAGAGTCCCAAAAGTGCTTTTTTTCAGGAGATCCTGAAGTCCAGATACAACTGGACTTTCTTGTTTTTTCTTTTTGAAGACATTTCGCTTCTCATCCAAGAAGCTTCTTCAGCTCTGACTGGATGGTGGGGAATAGCAGGATTTATATTCTTTGCAGACAGCTGGTCATTTGCATCCTTTTGGAAGGTGGTTGAAGCACTTCCATTCCCCACCATCCAGTCAGAGCTTCTTGGATGAGAAGCGAATCGTTTTCAAAAGGAAAAAAAACAACAAAGAAAATCCAGTTGCCTCTTGGAAAAAGCACCTTTGGGACAACCATGACCCGGAGGATTGAAAATCTCTACAGATGAACAAATTAGAGAAAAGCTGGATAGCAGAACTACTAATGACCCTTTTGAGTTACCTCTGCAAAAGGAGCTCTCCCCTCTCAATCAGGTGGCTGTGAGTTCAATCCTAAGTAGCGGCTAATATTTGGAATAGACTCTCCTGCTCGAGCAGGGGGTTGGACTAGATGACCTCCAAGGTCCCTTCCAACTCTGTTTTTCTATGATCTAAGTTACATTTATTGGGCAGCAGGTGGTGAATATTGTGACAGAGGAAGAGATTGGGTATAATGCTATTCATTCGTGCGTGCAAATTTATCTGACTTTTCTCTCTTTCTCTATTCTCTGTTTTGCTGAATGGAAGCGAGAAAAAGCTTATCACAGATGCTCTGAGTAGAAACCAATTTCTGAAAAGGCTGGACCCTCAGCAGATTAGAGACATGGTAGAATGTATGTACGGAAGGACATACCAGCAAGGAAACTACATAATCAAACAAGGGGAACCTGGCAACCATTTATTCGTCCTGGCAGGTTGGTAACCATTTTAGTTGTCGCTTTAAATAATAAACTCTGAAATTATGCTTCAAAGGCTAAGTCTTAGACTGCTAACGCAAGGAAAGCTTTCTTGGGATTATGCATATTCCACCTAGCCCAGAACAGGTATTTATTTATTTACATATTTATTGTTTTTTAAAAATAATAACAGAAGAAGAAAAGGTAACACAAAGATGCATACATTATTAAAAAGGAAAGAGCCTTAAAAATAAGTGACAAATACAACAGAAAAAATTAAAATATAAAGTATACATCATTATACCACTAAACAGTTTCAATTCTCTATATAATTATCTAAAGCAAAGAGTATACAAATAGATTGATAGACAGATAGACAGAGATGATAGATAGATGGATGGATGGATGGATGGATGGATGGATGGATGGATGGATAGATAGATAGATAGATAGATAGATAGATAGATAGATAGATAGATAGATAGATGATAGATAGATAGATAGATAGATAGATAGATAGATAGATAGATAGATAGAT